CCAAGACCACCCTCACCTCTGACACCAGCTGCAAGTTCAGAAGCCCCTAAAGCCAACCTCAGGTTCAGCAATTCACTAAAAGAACACACAGAACTCAGAAAAACCGTCATCCTCACGATTATGGTCTATTACAGTGAAAGGATAGAGCCATGGGAAAGGGGCACGTGGGGTCCAGGAGTGACCAGGCGTGGGCTTTCAGCTGCCCTCTCCCAATGGAGCTGTACGGACAGCGCCTGCTCCTCCCGGCAACGATGCGTGACAATAAACATGGAGTATTGACAACCAGGGAACTAGGTTCAACTGGACAACTGGACAGCTAGACTGGGTGTCCGGAGTTTTTACTGGGGCTTGGTCACGTACAAATGGTTGACTACTTGTGTGGCCGACCTTAGTTTCCAGTCCTTCCGAAAGTGGAGCTGACACTGCATGGCCCAGGGCCCCCCAGCCTAAGTCACATGGTTGACATAGACTGTGGTGTGGCTCAAAGTCTCCAGATCAACAAAGATAAAAGTTCTTCTCAGGTCGGACATTTCAAGAGCATAGAGGTTACTGTCCAGGACCTGAGGGCAAAGGTCAAACCTCTCTTTGGGCGAGGTTAATCCTCTACTGCACGTAGGGCAAACCCTTTTGGATATAAATCAGATCGTGTCGTGGCCCATGCCTAAAAAGCTCCAGTAGCTAGCTCCCCATCACATTAAAGTAAACCCCAGATTCCCCACCCTAATCTACAAGGTCCTGCATGGTCTGGCCTTTCTATCTCCCTCTCGCTCACTGCATTCGAGACACATGGATCTTCTTTTGTGTTCTTAATGACGCTCAGCTCTTTCCTGGCTTTTGCACCAGTTGTTCCCTTTGCCTGAAATGCTCTTCTCCCAGACCCACACACAACTGAATTCTTCTTCTCATTAGGTCTCAGCTTAATAAATGTCATTTCCTCAGAGGCGCCTTCCTGTCTACCCAAATTAAGGGAGTGCCGGAGTCAGTCCCTATCATGTGACCTTGTTATGTGTTCATCAGAGCAGGGATCGTTGCCTGTTATTTTCTAGCTCATTTATCTGTTAATTTGTCTGTTAGCACAGTGTTCCTGCAAGTGCCGTAAGAGTAGGATTCTTGGCTTTTTCTCTACCCCCAGCTCTGGAACATATTGGACCTAGAGTAAGGGCTCAGTAATTCTCTGAATAAATGAATGAGTGAACAGACGGATGAATAAATAATAAGCTTTGTAAATGCTGGCCTCAACAAAATCCAGTAGAATTCTTCACAGCAAGACTGTCAAAGGCTTAATATGTAATATGAATTGTGAATCTCCAAGTGTGTATCTGGTATTCACGTTCCTGGGAACCTTTTTTGGGGAGCATTGATGTTGAAACCTGGCGTTTTTAAGGAATCAGATTCATTTTCACATGTAACTAACTGTTTACAGAAAAACAAATCTGGGGCCAGCCCCACGGCTGAGTGGTTAAGTTCGTACTCTCTGCTTTCGCAGCCTGGGCTTCACCAGTTCGGATCCTGGCGCTGACCTAGCACCGCTCATCAAGCCACGCTGAGGCGGCGTCCCACATGGCAGAACCAGAAGGACCTACAACTAGAATATACAATGATGTACTGTGGGTTTTGGGGAGAAGAAGAAGAGGAAAAAAAAGAATATTGGCAACAGGCGTTCGCTCAGGGCCAATCTGCTACAAAAAAAAAAGAAAAAAGAAAAACTAATCTGAGACACGGCACATATTTTTAAAAATTTCTTTAACTCTTCCTGCTCCATCTCCATCCTTTAGGAGTCTGCTCTCCGCTAACTGATCAATTAATTTGTAGTTAGGTATAAATGTGTAATACTGCCTTAGGGCCTTTTACTTCCCTTTTATTTATTTATTATATTAAATCTCCATGATTATTAGAATGAGGATATAAAGATAATGACAGTGGTGGGCTGGTGAAAGATGATTTCTGGCATAAAAGCCAAAAGTGCCCATTTATGCCCTGTATACGTAGGTTTTGATTGTTGACGTCATTCCACGTGACAGAATCACATGTTCATAGACCTTTTTTCCTCATCTTTGGTAACAAGATTTTTTTTTTTTTTAAAGATTTTATTTTTTTCCTTTTTCTCCCCAAAGTCCCCCAGTACATAGTTGTGTATTTCTCATTGTGGGTTCTTCTAGTTGTGGCATGTGGGACGCTGCCTCAGCGTGGTTTGATGAGCAGTGCCATGTCGGCGCCCAGGATTCGAACCAACGAAACACTGGGCCGCCTGCAGCGGAGCGCGTGAACTTAACCACTCGGCCTCGCCTCGGGGCCAGACCCTTGGTAACAAGATTTTTAAGGTGGCTTTTAAAAATTCTTTCTGTCGACCAGATGCATTTGTGCTATGGAACATCGTGTGATTTCTGTTTGAAACCTTGGAATTGATGAAGATCACACAGTTTTTTCAGATCCTAATGATCCTGGTTTATTTCTTTGTATAGAAATAAGGTCTATAGTTATTTACTGCTTCAGACAGCTGCTTGGGGCACATGCTTATTCCAGACGCCCCTTTCTTCCTACTCGACCCTCCTTCAGTTGGGGGATGGGGTGCCAGACATGGCAGATAAAAAAACTGGAAAGGAGTTGGATGATTTTTGTCCTGTCATTTAGTTTTGCGTTTGTTAGAGCTGGTCTATTTCAGTTTGGTCCTTACGCCTAGGACACAGCCCCTCATGGCCTCTGTACCTTGATGCCGTTGAACTCCGACTTCTGACTCCCAGGTGACGTGTGACTCCTCTCACATAGTAAATTGGTCCTGTGTCACCCTATCGTGGCTCTTCTTTGAGCAGAGTACATAAATACTGGCATCTGGGAGGCTGTGAATTCCCTTTGAACCTTTTGTCATATGCTCCCCAGTAGTCCCCAACTCCTGCTTATGGAAACTTGGAGTTCTAATGAGAAGTTCCAAGCTTTCTGTATTATAGACCTCTATGTAGAGAAACCGCCTTCGGAAACAAGGCTTGGGTGCTTCTTCTCCTCGTCAGCCAGTGTCCACCTGCCCACAACGTCCAAATGGACATTTCTTTCCATTGACTTAACCCCCTGTAGCTGGCCACGTCCTGAGTGTACTGGTTAATTCTTGGACGGATTTTGAGTCAATCATGAAAACAGTTGTTTAGTCATATAAATTACTGCCACGGGATCCATTTATGGCCAAGATTTTACAGACGGATGCCTTGATAAATGTGCTTTTATTTGCTGTGAATAATTTCTGCATCGTGATATTGAAAAAAAATGTAATTCACCTTTTCCATTAAGAAGGCAGCAGTGGTGTGCAAAGAATTGTCAGTTATCTTGTGACTCCAGTCAGGAGTGTTCTGGGATTGATTTGGGGGGAATTCAGCTATTCCAGTAGAAAAACTATGGGTTAAACATGAACAGTTAGGAACCCCCTTTCCACAGCCTGCGACGCAGAAACGAGAGGTAAAATTGAAACCAGAACATGGTTTTCCAGCCAAGGCGCTGTCTGTTGAAATCCACAGGCAAAGGGAAGGACTGGTGATGGGTTTCCTCAGGGGAAGACTTAGCGGCTGGAGCGGCCTCGGGGGCGGGGCGGGGCGCCGTGTGCTCACAGTGTTCTTGGGCAGGGGCCCACATGGCTCCCCTCAGCGTTTCTGCTTTGCCTGGTGTGTACCAAGGTCTGGGGCGCGGAGGGAATGTCAGAGGAAGTGGGAGACACAGTCCCTGCTCTCAAGCTAACGGTGGTAATGAGCAGACCTGAGCTTGCAAGCATTTGACTTTGGATGACCCGTAGGAGACAGTGAATGGCCACCACCCCTTTACTTCCAGCCACCAGAGCAGATCCCTTCTGCCCAAGGCTACCCCGTCACTGACATTCGGCCTGAGGTTTGCAGGTTCGGATCCCGGGTGTGGGCCTACACACCACTTGTGAAAGCCGTGCTGTAGCAGCATCCCACATAAAATAGAGGAAGATTGGCACAGATGTTAGCTCAGGGCCAATCTTCCTCACCAAAAAAAAAAATAATAACAATGAAAAAATAAAAGTGGAAATAAATAGTTCATGCTAGAAGCTTATATGCATGTAAAATCAGAGACATTAAACAGAGATGTGCCCATAAGAGATGGAGAGAGACACATGGTGACCGATGTGACTTAAACCAGATGGGATTAGCTGGATGGTGGGAGGGGGCTGAGGGAGCAGGACCCCAAGTTGGCAGCACAGAGTGGAGTGGCCTGGGGGGTAAACTGGAAGTAGTTGGGGTTAGAAGTGGACCCTTGTAATTGATTCTCTGTATCTTTTAATCATTTTGTTGGGTGGGCTCCTTGGCTCTCCCCTGCACTCTCCTGACTCCCAGCCTCACCTCTTGTCTTCCCGTCCACGCGCATTCTGCTCGTCCTCCATCTTAAGGAGCTGCTTGCTCTGAGCCTTTGCGACATTGGCCATAGGATGTGCTGCTCTCTTTATTATCTTTTTAAAAACAGATAAGGTGGATGGGAGATGCTAATAGCAAATGCAGCCACAGCTCAGCCCCTGCTGCTCTGCAAAGCAGAGTTTCTTATCAGGCCCAGGTCCTCGCCCCGCAGGCAGAGGTGGCGTGACTGGGCGGGACCAGCCAGACAGGTGACATTGTGCCACGTGCCGTCCACAACCCAGCAAAGTGTGGAGCAGATCCGTAGTTCAGGTGAATCCCCAACTCTTGCCTTTCTTCACTTATTTTCACAGTCATCCGTAAGCTCAGCTGTACGGTGTGAAGTGTCGCAGGCAGGAAACAAAGTTCCTCCCGTGGCGGGATCCCCACAGACTCAGTCCCTCTTCCTGAGCCACGTCTTCCTATTTCTCTGTGAAGCAGGTTCTGCTGTTTGTCCTTGGGACCCGAGCCTGGTGATAAATAAGGAGCCATTTATCAGATTGCTGTGGAGGTCGAGACAGGGTCTGAAAATAAGAGCTTGGTTGTGAAGCTGTGAACCACAACCGTTTGAAATTCCCAAAATAACATATCCATTTTACACAATTGCAGACTGCCGTGTCCCGCAGATTGAAGACGCCGAGATCCATAACAAGACGTATAGACACGGAGATAAGTTAATCATCACTTGTCATGAAGGATTCAAGATCCGTTACCCCGACCTATACAACATGGTTTCCTCGTGTCGCGACGACGGAACGTGGGACAACCTGCCCATCTGTCAAGGTACAGGATGGGAACTTGGTTCCTGGCTGTTCTTCTCTCAGACTTTGTCATAGAACCTGTGCGTGTTTCTCTCACAGAATGATGGCAAGAACGACAGAGCCGCCCTCCCCCCTTGGGTCAGCTGTGTCTTCACTGTGATCGCCAAAGCTTTGTAGTCTTCCCAGCTCCATACACCCAGTTTTGAGGTTTAGATGGGAGATACCTAATTCTTTAGAATGTCGGATATCTGCTTTACTCTGAGAAACTAAAAGTGGTTTAAGAATCAGGAGACTTGTAACCGGGCTGTGAACACAATGATGAGCTGTTGTATATTTAATGGAAATAACCGAGCATTTATACTTATTTCAGTAGTGGTGAGAATATATTTAAAGCCAATCTTACAGAGGCTATTTTCTCTTAATAATGTTATCCCTTTTTATAATGCATGAGGAGCAGAAAAATAATCAAATTCAGATTTCATCCAAACCACACGGTGAATATTTATCCTCGTGCAGTTTTTAAATTTGCCTGGGCCGACAGAGAGGGCCCTCTTTGTGAAAATAAGCCCTCGAGTTCACATTAATTCTGATTTTTATTTTTTGACATGTGACTTGGACCAAAGGACCAAGCAGCCGATGCATAATTCATAATTCAAGGGAGAGGGAGAGCAATCTTATTTGCACCAAAAGCACCGTCATGTTCAAGTTGAGGCGAATGTTAACTTTGTGCTGGGAAATCACAACTGACAGACTCTGATATTGCTTTGCTTGCCCCATAGTTGGAAATAAATCATTTCCTTATGCGAGAGCTTCAGAGCCACAGCCCCTTGAAGAAACAAAGGCTTCAGGCTTAGGAGGACAGAGGCTGCCCAGACCCTCACACTGGGGCATTTCTCCCCAGAAACTTCCTGTGTAGTTTAGCATGTTATATATTACATTTTTAAAGGAGACACGTGATTTATTCATGCTTTCAGAGACTGTCCACAAAATCAGCAGCTGGCTCTTAGGTTGGGCTATTTATTCGAATGAACTTTATTAACCTTTGATTTGTTCCTGTCCTGTGGCACTATCAGAGTAATGGGGAAGAAAATTGCCTCAGACTCTGGCCACTTCTTGCTTTCATATTTTCCACTTATCTTTTTGTTTTCCTACCCTTTTTATTTCCTTTTATGTCATTTAAATACAGAAGTCTTCTTTAGGGGTTCTTTTTGCCCCAATGATTTTTTTTTTTTGGTGAAGAAGATTGGCCCCCAGCTAACATCTGTGCCAGTCTTCCTCTATTTTGTATGTGGGATGCCTCCACGGCATGGCTTGATGAGCGGTGTGTTGGTGCATGCCTGGGACCCAAACCCATGAACCCAGGCTGTTGAAGTGGAGCACACTGAACTTAACCACTACACCACCAGACCGTCTGTCTCCAGTGACTTTTTTAAAAGTATCCTATGGTGGTATACATCTTGGGGTATCATTGTCAAGAGTTCAGATACAGGCTTCCCCTTCACTCTGTCTGGCCACACTTGCCCCTCCCCTCCATCATCCCTTAGTCAAATCTCAGTCAAAACATAGCTTTTGTAGTTCGGCAACTGAAAAAAAGAGAGCTGGCCGGCCATTCTCGAGAGGCATGTGTCTTCAAACAGCAATACAATCCACAGCCCACCTTCCGTCCTCGGAGCCCACTGTCCCCGCAGAGGAGGTGCCCCTGGGCTGTGCTCTGCTCTCCGCTCCATGCCCTGTCCCCACTGCAGAGGCAGGAGGGAGTCCTGGCTGCTCCAGCTTCCTCCGGCACCGCTCAGGCATGAGGAATCGGTTGTCTTAGACAGCCTGACACCTCCTGAGCCCCCAGGGGGAATGTAATTGGCCCTTGGTGTGACACTTCCTCCTGTGACTTTTATTTGCACTTATAGATCCAGGGGCTACAGCCTGAGGAGCTTCTCTCTATTATCTGGAAGTGCAAATAGAAATCGCGGTGAACACGGAGCTGAAGCCAGTTTCTTACTGCTAGGCTCAGGACAGGCTGTCTCCAACCAAGAGGAAACATGTCTTTCCTGCCCCGCTTCGCTGCGAGTGTACCCACTGCCGTCTCCTTTGGGGTGGGATGGGCAGGCTGTTTCAAGGCCGTTTTTTTCCGTGGGAATTTTGTGTTTTGGCGAGCAGTGTCCTGATGCCTTCTGCTCGCTGTGGGTCAGAGTTCATTTTTATTTGGGGAAGCCAGTTGATCCATGAGGATCGTTTCAAATGACACAGCTTCCTAGGAAGAGGAGCGGGCACGGTCACTTGTGCCAGTTCACATGAACTATGCTTACGGGTTCTAATACGCTCCCTTGTTCATATTAACTTGCTTATCTTCTTTTCTCAGTTAGCGATTCTGTTTATTCCCGATTCCCAACCTCCCCCCATACTTTTCACTTTTGCCGTGAACGTTGCCAGTTTTCAGCTCAGGAAAAAAATCATTAAGGGAGCCAGCCTGGTGGCATAGTGGTTAAGTTTGCACACTCTGCTTCGGTGGCCCAGGGTTCATGGGTTCGGATCCCAGGTGCAGACCTACATACCGCTCATCAAGCCATGCTGTACGGCACCCCACATACGAAGTAGAGGAAGACTGGCAGAGATGTTAGCTCAGGGCCAATCTTCCTCACCAAAAAAATAAAAATACATCATTAAAAAATGTCATTTGAGGCCATGGGGACTGCCTGAAAGGAAGGCTGAGTGCCATGCATTTTGGGTATGGTCCATCCTGAGTGTTGACCGATTCCAGGCAGTGATCTGCTGGGTCTGCAGAGCTCTGTGGCCTCAGGACACAGCTGTGCAGGGTCAGTGCTTGCATGACCCCAGAGTGAGCACCTCCCTAAATTCTGCATCCCAGGGGCCTCCCTCACCTCACCCTGGTCTCGCTCTGATACACAGACACCATATACCGGGGTGCTGACCAGAGCAATTTGCTGAACACAGAGCCCTTTGATACTTATAATATCTAACAGAGTCAGCTTGGGAGAGTTCAGTCCTCGGCTGCAGAGCATGTGACATAATTGGTACTTGGTGAGTGGAAGGGAAAGTAGGTATTTCTGTTCTCCTTTATTTACTTCACACGCAATTAGTCCTCCCCGGGAAAACGCAGCTCTGCAGGGCCGTTATTCCCTCCAGTGAAACTGCTGAAGCCAATAAGAAATTCCCCGATCACAGTGGATGCCACACAGAATGGGACTCTGTGCTGTTGGGAGTGTTCCACTGGGCTGCACAGGCTTCGCGACAAAAAGGCAGCCACTGTTTTACGGAAGTAGGTGCGTGGGATCCGGTTCCCGATTCCCCTCGGATGGCACGCAGGATTCTGTGCAGATTGCCCGGGCTCGCTGCAGCAGAGGTCCTCGAAGCTTGGTCCCCAGCCCTGCAGCAGCAGCTGCACCTGGAAACCTTAGTAAAGCAAATCCTTGGGCTCCTCGGACACTCTGGGGCGGGGCCCAGCAGTCTGTTCCAACAAGCCCTCTCTCTGAGTCCTTCTCAAGTTTGCAAACCACTGTGCTATGGGGTTCCTTACCTATTTCACATAAAACACAACGAGATTTGCAAAATTTTAGATGCACTGTATCAGGCAGACGTCTGTTCCATCTGCTACAGTGGGACCAGGTTTGCCTCATGACCGTCTCAGGCCACCCACCAGCCCCGTAGGAGGAGTTGGGCTGTCTCTTTCCTCTATGGCACCTCAGCGGTTCTCACTGACGGCACATTAGATGATTTGGGGAACTTTAAAAAAGATAAGGACGCCCAGGCTGTATGCCGGCCCTGGGCGTGGGGCCAGGCATTGGTGTTTGAAGTCCCTTAGGTGATTCTAACGTGCACTTGGGGCTGGAACCACCAGCAGTGACCCCTGCCCCAGCACTTCCCTACTGGTCTGACGCTCTTGGTGCCATTCGCAGCTATAAAGGCGAGTATCCCCATTGCAAGGAGAATAGGTCAGTAGATGAGGGAGTCTGAGCGTTTAAGCCCACAGTGCCCATTCCCCAGAGGCCAGGCCACGTTCACAGTGGGCGAGGCCGCAAGAGCGACAGTGCTTCATCCTTTAGGTGGCCGGAGAGGACCTAGTGAAACCTTCCCTTTTTCTTTCACACGTCACAGGCTGCCTGAGACCACTCGCCTCCTCTAATGGCTACGTGAACATCTCCGAGTTCCAGACCTCCTTCCCGGTGGGCACTGTCATCGCCTATCACTGCTTTCCTGGATTTAAACTCGAGGGGTCGGAGTTTCTCGAGTGCTTACACAACCTCATCTGGTCGTCCAGCCCACCCCGGTGCCTTGCTCTGGAAGGTAACACATCTTCTGCTTTTGGAAGTTGAGTTTTAGATAATTAAAGTGGGTATTATAATAGGGTGTGAAGAGCGGAGGATTACGGTCAGCAGTAACTTTTGTTCCCTGAGCACACCGCGTGCCTCCATCCTAAGCAGAGGACGCAAACCTGGTCCTCTGCCATGAAGCCATCCTTACAACCAGATATTAAATTTGCTCCCGCCATCCTCAGGCTGAAAGAGGCAGAAAGTGGATAAAAGAGAAGAGTTCCAAGCGTCAAAGGTTAAACTGTGAAAGATTGCAGAGTTAAATGAAATGTCTTCAAAAATTAATTTTCTCTGCACCACATGAAAACAGATTACATTGTGGCATCATTAATGTCACCCCTCGCTTTATTGTGTCACTGTTTATTCCTATTTCCACGCGTCTTATGGCTTGGCTGTAAATGCGTTGCTGCAAGCACGCACTCGGAAGCCTGAACCCAAGAGCGCGTCCCTCCCTGTTTCTGTTAAATACGGTCTATGTGACTATTTTAGACTGGTTTACTGAAGACCACTCATCGGTAGTATGAAGTAGTGAGGGGGACAGGGCATCACCACCAGGATCAGGGCAGTGTCCGTGCGGGTAGAGGCCACAGAACCTTCTGCTGGGCAAGTTGGACATGCTGGCTTAGCCCTCGCTTTGACTCGGTTCTTGAAATTATATCAAAGAGAACAAACCCCGGTTTGTTTCTTGGCGTCTGAACATGGTGGGCAAGAGGGGTCAGTATGGCGAAAGAAAAAAGAATGGCAGGAAACCTCAAATCCAGAGTCCCCGCAGAGCCTATTTGCAGCTTTTCTTGAGAAACAAAATAAGACACGACAGCATGTGGAAGCACGAGTTCCCGCCAGTGCGCAGCTCAGTGGGGGAAGAGGTCAGAGTAGGAAGCGTGCTGTGGAGGGGGTGGGGGCCTGGTGCACAGAGCAACGAGAATGCCCGGCCTGGGCCCTCAGTTTTGCATTCTCCTAGGCTAGTAAGTGGCACCCCTACTTGCCTCCACTTCCTACCCATCCCAAATCCCCTAGGGGATGAGAGCCTGGACCAGAGATGTCAGACAGAAAACAGGAAGCCCAGTTAAATCTAAATTTCAGATAAGCAAATAATATTTTAATATGAACGTGTCCTAAATATTGCATGGGACTGACTTATGGTAAAAAGTTATTCTTTATTTATCTGAATTTCCAGTATAACCGAATGTCCTGTATTATTTGCTAAATCTGACGACCCTAGCCTAGAGGGATCAGGGCATCCCCTTCGTGTCCACCGGGAACGGTTTTTCTGCTGTCTGGACACTGTGGCGGGCTGACGTGAGCAAGGGCCACTGATGGAAGGAGGCTATTCTTGTTCTTGGAGGTTTCTCCCTGCTCAGAGAACCAGAAATAGAGGCTCGGTTAAAGGTATCATTGTTATGATTGTTTCTATTTGAAATACCTATTTTAAAATCTTTCCGGATTTCATTTAAATGCCTTTCAGGCAGTCGTGTTCTTTTTTTGTATTCTTCTCCTCAAAGCCCCCCAGTACATAGTTGTAAATTCTAGTTGTGAGTGTCTCTGGTTGTGCTATGTGGGCCGAAGCCTCAGCCTGGCCTGATGAGCAGTGCCATATCCACGCCCAGGATCCGAACTGGTGAAACCTTGGGCCGCCGAAGCAGAGCGTGTTAACTTAACCACTTGGCCGTGGGGCCAGCCCCAAGTCATGGTCTGATAAGCTTCATTTGGGGACTTTGAAAGCATTTTTTTTTAAGATTGGCCCTGAGCTAACATGTGTTACAAATCATCCTCTGTTTTTGTTTTTCTCCCCAAAGCTCCACTACATAGTTGTATATCCTGGTTCTAAGTCCTTCTAGTTCGTCTGTGTGGGATGCTGCAACAGCATGGCTTGATGAGTGGTGCATAGGTCCATGGCCAAGATCCAAACCAGTGAATCCCAGCCCACTGAAGCGGAGCAACCAAACTTAACCACTTGGTTATGGGGCCGGCCACTTGAAAGCATTTTTTATGAAGCCTAGAGAATATGATATGAGTAGACGTAAACATAATCTAACTTCAAGGGTCAACAATCTAAGGTTATGAACAGGAAGCTGTGACTGGCTTCTGATTGCAAATGAGTCTATGGGGCTTTTTTTAAGTTTATTTTTTAAATTTATTTTGAGGAAGACTGGCCCTGAGCTAACATCCGTGCCCATCTTCCTCTACTTTATATGTGGGACGCCTGCCACAGCATGGCTTGATGAGCCGTGCTAGGTCCACAACCAGGATTCGAACTTGCGAACACCGGGCCACCGAAGTGGAGCGTGCAAACTTAACTGCTACACCACCAGGCCAGCCCTGAGTCTCTGGTTTGACACATGTCTATTTTCCTCTGCCCGGCTGAGCTGAGGGATGATGCTGAAAACCCAGGGTGACAGCTGCCTGTGCCAGGAAGGCCACTTAACACCTTTTTCCCCTCAGGTTTTGTTTTTTTAAAAACTAATCTTTACATCTTTATTTTCAATTCATGTCCCTTTAAATTATCTGATGGGATTCCTTTGCGAGACCTTTAAATGCTCCCCTGGCTAATGGCACCCAAACCACAACTCTAAACTGAGAGGCACAGAGTAGACTAAAGGGATTTTTGTCTCAAGACTTGATAGAAACTGGGTTAAATGAAGCAGTGGGTTAAAATAGCAGGCAAGGATTCACAAAAAAGTTCTCCAGAGGTACCTAGTAGGTGTTGGTATTTCTTTAACTCTTGAATTGCATATCATCTTTTTAAAAGGTGGTACCTTATTTATGCAATAGTGTCATAGGGCATCCGACATAGATGAACTGTCCCGAGGGAATGTACCCCATTAATATATCACCTGCTCTCTCCCCTCCTCACTTTCCTGTCTTCCTTAGCGCACAATTTGATTTTTCTTGACGGCGCAGTGAGAATTATTGCACTGTGCTGTGGAACGGTGATGCTCTCAGGGGCTTTAAATATGTTAGGGCGCCTTGCCCCTAAAGTGACTGGGTCTGGACAGCTGTGCGGTGGAAGGCTTTTTCTGTGAGCTTTTCATCCCCTCCCCTCTCACTACCAATCCATCAGTCTGTCAGCTGTCAGTGCACCTGTCACTGCAGCTTCCCCACCTGCGACTCTTTTTCTAACGTGCTGGGAGCCGGGACATGGAATCAGAGATCATGGAGGAGGCAGTGTGGTGTATTGATTGAGTGCGAACTGATCTCCCACTGGCTGGGTTCACACCCTGGGTCTCCTGCTTAATCATTTGACCTGGGGCAAGTCATCTAACCTCCATTGCGCCCTCCGTTGCCTCGTCCATAAAGTGGGGGAGATGGTCATGCTTCTCTTGTGGGACTGTGAGAATCCGGTGTGACAACACAGGTGACACGTTTAGCGAAGTGCCTGGCACCAGGTCCGTGGTCAGTGAGGTCTTCATCATTATTATTGCTCTTAGAATTGTGTACAAAGTCACCATAAGTAAGTGAGAATCTGGACATGACTGTGTGAATAACGCCCCCAGGTTTTTCTGCATAAACATTGTGGTGCTATTTTGGTCATTCAGATGCTATTTTGGTTACTTGCACGCTTTTAGCTGTGTTTGTAAAAGTTGAATCCTAGGTGAAGGAGGGAATGCTGAACAATAGTAATAATTGCCATTAATTTTGAGGGCTGACTCCGTGTCAGGCTCTCAACTGACACAGTATCTCATTTAGTCCTCCAATCGCCCTTGTGAGGCAGGTCCTAGTTCTAACCCATTTTACTGACGAGCAAACCCAGGCTTCTAAAGAGTCAGTAATTTGTGCCCGAAGTCACACAGCCAGTAAGTGGGGGAGCTTGGACTCGAACATGGGGCTTTGTCACTTCAAAGCTCATGCTCTTAATCACCAAGGTGCATTGTCGAATTAACTTGTTCTGATTACTTTACAATCCAACAGGGAAACAATTTGATATTTTTATAGTCATTTGTTAGAGTCAAAAATTTTTTAAGAATTATTGCATGGGAAGGAATTTGTCTTTCTGGTCTAGTTATCCTCCCTGTAGAAATCCCAGCTGCAGGGGACCGTGAGCCCCAAGGGAGGCCCTGCTGCCTGCTGGGTGGCAATGAGCTCTCACGGCTGCCCCCTAAATGCCCATTAGTCTCCTATATTTCAGGGGAGGCTCGCTTCAGCCAGTGGGCTGGTCAGGGCTTGTGTCCCCTTTCACAGACCAGGAGACTGACACCCTGAAGGATGACATGACTTGTCCAGACCTCTCACTCTTGGTCCATGGCTCTTTCCACCATGTGGTGTCTCCTTTCCCTAGTGGAATGGAGAGCACCTTGTAATGGCAGGCTTCACTGGTACCAACATTGAGTGACAGCTGTCATTCTCACATGTCAACAGCCCCATCATTGATGCCCAGCTTCAGGAAGGAGTTTATAATTTGGAAGGAAAAGCTCTGGCAGCTTCCTCAGAGGTGTGTGTATTGTGTTTCCAGGCCTGCGCCCTTGCTCCCGTCTTATTGATAGTGGACGATCCTGGAACATGTGCATTTCCTGTCGCTGTATTGGATTTGGTAGAGCACCTGAAATCACAAAGTCTAGAACCAGAATGTTGCTACATCATTTTAAAGTAGATGATTATAGATATTTAGAATTTTGGGACCTGGAAGGAGCTCCATATGTGTTGGCCTGTCTCACTGTGGGTCTGTGTGCTTTTCCTCAACTCTGTGTTTTCCATTCTTGGGCCATCTTCATCTCTGAGGCTCTCATCTCTCTTTGTCTCTTTCATACACAGACAGACACACACAGACATTGAAACCAAGAAATGTTAAAAAAAGAAAACTTGACAATGACTGTGGACAATTTCTCATTTATAAGTGCTAAGAACTTGGTTTTCATTGTCAATAGTGTTTATCGAACACCTGCTAAGCACAGAACAACACCAAATTGGGCACTGGGGAATTACAAAGAAAGAAAAGGACATAATTCCTTCCTTTGAAGAGTTTACAGTCTCATGGGG